CGTTTGTGACTTATAGCTTTGAAAAATGTCTGTATTATCTAGCACCTTTCATGTATCTGTGCACTGATTTATCAGGAGGATTAACTTGCGGTTTTGTTCGTCTCAAGTCACTAGTTATGCTTATTAAAATTGACTATCTAGCAGTCAACATTTCATTTGTAAAACTAGTTATTTCGATGTCAGTTATCCTGAGGGAAACTTTAGAGAGTACTAGCAAATTTGATGGTTCGATTAATTTTTCGCTCATATACACAAATCTGGCATCGTTATGCTCATGCATAATTCACAAACTTTTGAGTTCATAACCGAAGATATTTCGAATTGCTGCGTTCTAACGGCCATCGAGCCATTCAATTAGCCTTATGTGCCAGAGTTTCATTGCCATATTCTTACTGATTGTTTCCGGAACTAAGGTTTAGCACTCATGGTCAATCGGCATTGTGGATGCGTAGGTGTTTTCAACTGATATTCAACCGTAGGTGTATCTCGTGGAAAAGATGCACCCCTGAATAACTACTTATATGATATCGTAAGAAAAAAATTAATTCAACTATGTTCCTGTACGTATTTTGTTCCGTTTCTATCTTTGAACGTCACAGGAAAAATTTTTCAGTTAATAAGAGGTACAAAGAAATGGAAACACTATAAAACATTAAAATAATTGGTCCAAGTGGCTCGTTTCAAACGTTTCCTCTTCTTCATATGGGCGAAATTCAGAAACTTTTAGTGATTCTCTCAATTATTCTGCTGCTGCTCACCCAGGTTTGACGTAATTTTTCGTTTTTGCTTGAAGACCTGTCAGTGAACGTTGTTAGGCAACATGTCACTTCTGACTGCCACCTGGGTAACAACCCTACAAATTAATAAAGTGCCCCTTGTCAGTCAAACAATTAACCGATTCGTGACGACAACCGCAAAATTTAATCGACAGTGTTCGCCATCTCCATATTGTGTTACTGCGACTGTCTTCGTTGGTGGTTGTCAACGACGTAGAGCGTTTCTGGTCAGCAAGGACCGAAGTACAATGCAGGATTTCGACACATTGCTAACCGACGTGAGCGGACCGGGAAGGTACCAGGTGGCCGTCGTGGTGTTGCTCATCTTTCCAAACAGTCTGATGAACGCGTTCGCCAGATTTCTGTACATTTTCCAGTTCTACCAACCCGATCACTGTTGTCGATCGTTCGATGACCACTGTCTGCCAGGCAAGGCCAAT